AAGCGTCCGCCGCGTCGCGTTTCTTCACGTGCCCAAGTGCGGCACCGCGCTGGCAAATGCGCTCCTGCATTACGCATGTGCGGGCCTTGAGCCGACTGTGGGCTTCTCCTTGGACCCTCACCGGAATGTGTCGACTCGCTTTGCGGATCCCGACAGCGCACTGCATTATGCGAACAGGCACAGCTACTGCGACACAGCTCAGTTCTGGCAGCAAAATGATGGCGCAGCAATAGTATCCTGGATGGGGCATCATCCGCTCACTGACGATGTGTTTCGAAAATGGCGGGGTTCTATTTTTGGGGTCTTCCGCGAGCCTTGGAGCCACCTGCGATCAATGTGGGCATACTTTGGGCCGTCATGGTTGCGCGTTGCCAACCGCAGCAACAGCACCAATGTCATCCCAAGAGACTTGCTCTCGTTTTCTGCTCGCGTGGCGGGCAGCACCGTGCTTCAGGTCAGCGGGCAGCGACATGGGATGGATTGCTTGTCGCACGCCTATGACTGCACGCACATGATGCCCGACACGAGGAAGGCGCTTGACCGGCTCGGCGGCTTTGCTTTTGTCGGTCTCACAACACGTTGGCGGGACTCGATGTGCCTCTTCCACGCCATGTTTGGCGGGCCGTGTTTGGCAGTCGAGCTCGAGCAGTATCACCAGACGAATTACCGCCGGGTGCCATGGCCACCTGAAGATGTGTCCATCGAGATTGACCTTGCGACCAAGCTCTTTTACAGCGGTGCGGTGGAGCGGTTTCAGCGTGACTGGGAGATGCACAAGTTGACAAGTGGATTGTGCCACTATCGGTGTCCTTCGCGTCCTTGATGCATGATTGAGGGTCTGCACATGTACTCTGCCGTCACCTCTGTCGCCGTTACGACCGAAATGAGCGACTTTTGTAAATCACGTATGCCCTACGAAATCGGAGAGTAGTAACGAGCCGATAGGTGCGAGGAACAATGTCGACGCAGCCTTCCGGTGGCGACGCAGACGGCGGGGCGGCGGGCGACGGCCACGGTTGCGCGCGGCGCTCCGAGAACGGAGAAGGTCGATTCTGACGACGTCGAGGCCAAGGAAACAACAGCAATCTTTGCCACCATGTTGCGACGCAAGCTATAGAGCCTGAATTCCTGGAATTAAAAACGCAAATGTACCCACTAAAAAACCGAGCACTTTTCGAAGGTGCCCACCCGATGCGCGACAGCTGCGCTTCCCGTACGGATAGCCCCCGGGAGCGCCTCAACAGACAACACGGAATCGACATCAGCCGAGAAAATGGTCCTGGGTGACGTAGGGGAAACCCGGCGAGCCTCGGGAACTAGCCGGGGCAGTCGGAGAAGGGGCAACTCCGTGCACTGACGGTCGGCCGCCAGAAAACACGCCTGCGTGGATCGCGTCACACCAATCCTCGCTACCCAACGCGGCCAAAGGATATCCACCTCGAGAACCTCGAGAGAGAGCAGAGCTATTAAATTGGCGCGGCGTGCGTGAGCGAGATGCAAGCCGTCGTCGGCTGCAGCAATGAGCACTGCGAAATTCTCCTCTGCGCTGGCCAAATTTAAGGCGCAGCAAGAGAAACCGAAGAAAAAGTGTCCCAACGATTTCACGCAGCTGTCAAATCTGCCACCGCCAGTCTTCACGCGGGTCGCTTGGCTGCACGTCCCGAAGACTTCGTCCGGCTTCGCCAACGTGCTCTTCCGCGCCGCGTGCCGGCTCCAGACGCCGAAGCCGTTCCTCGAGGTCGTCCAAGTGCAATGTCTCATCGCCAACCATTGTCCAAAGACCTTTGTTCAATTTGATTGGGGCCACAAGTCGCTGCACTCGCTGCGACCGGGCATGATGGCCGTCACGTTGTTGCGCGAGCCGTGGCAACGCGCGGTCTCGGGCTTCTTCCACAACCTGCACTCGTGCCGCTGGATGCAGGCCCGCTACAACATGACCGGCAACCGGCCGCGCGCGGGCACCTCGCCCTTTTACAAGAGCTTCACCGACGACGACGTCAAGACGTATGCTGACTGCGTGAGCGCTTGCTCGGTGCGGATGACCACCGGCCGCCTCTGCTCGGTGCCGATGCGCAACCGCGGCGTCGACCAAGCCGCGCTCGCGTCGTCGTGGCGTTTGGTCAAGGCCGCCAACGAGACCCTGCGCCGCTTCGCCTTCGTCGGCATTACGGACGAATACGAGCGGACGCTCAAGGCCTTTGCCGCGATGTCGAAGACGCCGCTCATCGAGAGCGACTTCAAAGTGATGCGCAAGGGCGTCAAGCCGGAGCGCGACCTCGAACGCGTCGAGTCGATCGTGAGGAGCCGTAGGCACGTCGACGACGAGCTGTACGCGACCGCGAAGCAGATTCTCGCGCTCGAGGAGGTGGGCCAGTGGCCGCCGGCCGCCGCCGGCAAGTATCAAGCCACTGGAACTGGAGGTGCAGGTGGTGCTGGCGCTGGCGCTGGCGGCTTCCTGAGCGATATCGCGTCGATCGGCGTTCGCGGGCCCAGCCTCGCCATCGCTGCGGCGACGGGCACGGGCGCGGCGGCCGCGGCGGCGGGAAGGTGGGTGGTTGGATCTGATGAGAGAATACGAAAGAGCCGGGGGGGGAATATGGCTTTTTAACTACCCCCAAGATGGCGCAGCATTTTTGAGAGAGGTGCGGAGCGGCTGTGCGGACAGCGGAAAGCAGGTGCCACTCGCTGCGCCTGCGGAGATATCAACGAATTGATCAACGCTGGTGGATGGTTCCAATGGCGCGTGGGGCTCCTGCCCGTGTCCGGGTGTGGAGATGCGCGAGGGTCGGCCCCCTGCCCCACCACTTTGTGTGTGTGGAGAAATTTACCTTACCTTACCTTACCTGTTCATGATAATAAAAAACGATACAGGCGCCCGTCGCTATGGCGGCTTGCGCTGGGTGATGTCCTGGTCCACGGCAAAAGACGGCGCCAGGAAGACCATGACGCCACCCACGCGCAGCGGTATGACGCCGTGGTAGGCGGTGCGCGGCACGCCCGCCTTGAGGTCCTCCATGATGCCCAGCTGCTTGCAGAAGCCCAGCAGCACCTTTGGCGTCGAGTAGCGCACCACCACGTCGCCTCCGCCGCTCGCGGTGAAGGAGCGGTCGATGACTCTGCGCAGCTCCACCTCGCGCGCCGCGGCGACCCGCGCGGCAAACGGAGGGTCGTACGCGGCCTTGAGCAGAAAGCTGAGGTTGCGGCCGGCCCAGGCGGGGGCGGCTTGGTCGGAGAACTGGATGGGCGCCAGAAACTTGATGTAGAACTGGGAGAGAGACGTCCCCTTCTGCCCAAACGTGCGCGAGCGGCTCGTCTCGGGCCGTATCGACGCGCGGCCCTGCCGCTGCGGCGGCTCTCGCATCCAGTCGTCCCAGAAGCCGCGCTCCTCAGGCCAGCCGGCGCCAATCTCGGCCCACAGCCGCCGTGTGAGCAGCCAGCCGAGGCCGGGGAAGAAATCGGAGCGGTAGAGGGCGGACGTGTCGGAGGAGTAGCGCGGCTGGCCGTTGTCGTTGAAGGCGGAGACGGCGAGGAGGGTGTCGTCCTATTCGTCATCAGCCAACGAGTTATGATACTAACGGTGAAGAATCAACGGCTGATAGCGGCGAAGGTTGTCGTCCTGGTAGAG